AAAATTTGCTTCGGGTTGCGACCAATTCGGGGTGCGACCAGAGTCACGGAACGAATTAAGTTCGTAAACCGAGGTTCCACTGTATTGCCTGTCCATGGGCTCTGAACAGTGAACGTTAAACAGTGGTGCATGCAACCCGTTCTGTTTATGATGCCATCAGTTATATCCATGACTTTCAATTGCATTTCTGGATCAGAGGGTGGGAGTGAGGCTTTGTGTTGAATATATGTAGGCAGGAGATTTATTGAGTCAGAAGTCTGAAATGATAAGCTTTCCTTAGGGCTAAGCCAATCTGGAGTTTCTCTTCTACTCCTAGAACTTAGCAAGAAAACTCTGTAACAATGCAGGCTGTACAGTTGCTAGATGTTCCCATTTTCTCCTCGATAGACAATCACTTCCACCATTGTCCATGTTTTGGTAATAAGTAGGATTGATTACATGGGACTACTTCCAACCACAATTCAGAATAGGGTGCTTACCTTTAAAATCCTACATGACTTATGATACAGGCTTCTGAAAGAATATCTGTGTCTATAACACCCTAATTTAATTTGAGGTCTTCTTTAGAGCCAGTCTTCTAGGCGTTCATCATCTGAAATAAGAAGGTGGTATCCAGAAGCAGTGTTCTCTGTGGTGGTGCCTCATTTTTTAAATAATTCTCTCCCCGGGATAATTGCTATCAGCTAAGATGGTTTTGGGTTATTATTTTAATGAATGTTTGGGTATGTCTTTTCTTTGTTACTTGTATTCCACTTTTATTTTGGAAGCTCTGCTCAATGTGTATATCTGAATCAGGAGTCTGTTTATAAGAAACAGGATGCTAGAGTGGAGCAGACTTTGATCCCAATTGTTTCGGGGAACACAGTGACCTCTTCGTATCAGGCTGTTTGGCAGATGCCTCAAACCAGGCATAGTTTTTTCCATGCAAGATTTTCAGAGTTTTCTTTAGCAAGATTTACTAAGATGAAAGGGATGGAGTTACAAGAATTTCAGCAATTGAACTATTTCCAGTTAGAACCCATTTATCCCCTAATGTGTTACGGTGGAGCAGAGGCACCCACAGGACCAACCATTTTCACCAAAATGATGAAACCACATTCCCACTGTTGTGATGCAAGCTCCATGCTTTCTGTATACATGTGTGACATCAAAACATGGAGCTTGCATTGCTGGGTCATAATGCTGCTGTAATTTCCCCCTCCCTTGCCCCGCTCCCACATGGACACCATTGGAGTGGAAATATTTAAAGTTTTTTTCTATCGGCTTCCTTGTGATTTATTTGGAGACGAGGTTGTTTTTTTCACTGATAGCAGAGAAGCTCGCAGGTGGGTGTTTACATAACAGTCCCCTGAATAGTATCAGCATGGGAGCCAACCATGACATCTTGTTTCGAGTGGAGCAAGGATGCCTTAGGATTAAAATAAAGCTTATTTAAGAGATCCATAACTGGATGACCCCTCCCATTAAAGTTGTGGGAGAGAGACAGTCCCCTGCTGCTGAGCCTGTGGCTGGGGATAGTAGGTGTTGAAGTCCAAAACATCTGGAAGGTAGCAAGCTGCCTATCTATTCTTTGCTGTGACACCAGAATATTTTTTCCCTTTTTCCCCAGGTGTCTTCCCCCCCACACACATTTTCTTTCTCTGATCAAATTGACTTGAGAATGTTACAAATGGTTCGGAAATGGTTTTCATCCTCAAGTAACCTCCCGCCAGCTTTAGCCAAGCTTTTGTCTCAAACCATCTGCTGATGGTGATTATTTTGCTTGTAAAAAACAAAAAGGCAACAAAGAACTAGGCGAGAGAGCATTGACCGACAGTAACCCCAGGAACTTCATGCTAGACCGAAGAATAGGAAGTCGGGTTTTTTTTCCAGTCAGGTCTGAGTAAGACAGTAGTAATTTGGAATGGCATAAAAAGAGAGTGGAGAATCCATTTTTCTCAGCACATGGAACCTCTGCCTTCTCCCCACTTCTCCCACACATTTCCTGTCCCATTCCGTCTTTGCAGATCTGGGATTCTCATTCCAAGCCTCCTGGATTCTGAGAATTTATATAATTGTAAATCCTTTGATCAGATTACCAATTTTTAAAAGTCAGCCTTCTTGAAGATCTGAGGCCCTCTTTCCAGATCTGTGACCCAATGTACGCTGCTAAGTTACCTTTCTTCAATGTGGTGCCCTTCAGAAATGCCAGGATTGCAATTCTTAAAATTCCTACTCAGCATAACTACAGATTTTCCATAGCGAAAAGATCAAAGCAAAATAGAACAAAAATAAAACCATTCAAAGTGGACCTTTTATTTGCACTGGTGGTTTTTCAAGGGCAGGCTTAACGTTTTTGAGTTGTGCAGGTCTCCTTTTCATACATTCAAGGAAAGGAGAACATATGTGCTTCCTTAAGTATCTGTAGTTCTGAAAGTGTCTTCAGTGTTTCTTCTGGTAGATGATGTTTCCCAAAAGATAGCTTGTATGTTGTTATCCACCAGTCCTAAGTGGGTAAAAAAGTAGGGAAGGGGTTTATAAAATCCATAAATTGCACCCTGATGCTTTTGAATTTTATACATATCATGCCTCAATTAACCTTCTAAAAACAGTTGTCAAGTGGGCCATCACAAAAGATATGTCTGGATCTGAATTGGCAGCTTAAATAAAGCCACAGTGCAGAGCTGGAGATTAAACTGTCTGCCTTAGCCAGAGATCCAGTTAGAAGGAGACATGGTAGAGTGATCCGGGCTGGGGGCAGTGGGAGACCCTTGATTAGAGAAAGGGGAGAAACTGTGATCCACAGAGTTTTCTAAATCCATCACAAAAGTTAGGTGGGCTGAGCCAATCCTTCCTGCAGGTCAGGACTGTACCTGATTCCCCCCCCCCCTCGCCCGCCATTTAGCATTACAAGATATTGGATATCTCCTCGGATTGAACTGGCTACACTACATGAGAAGTCTCAGCAATATCTACAATACATGGATAGCTGCAGCTGGGGACAAAAACGACTCTTTTCTCTCCACGTACATTACGGAAGCATTTTCCACTCATCACCAAAACCATTGAGTAGATGTGATATTGATTGTCTTCCCCGTTTTTTTCCTTGAATGTTCCTTGCCACAGAATGAGTCTCTGGGATCACCTAAGATGAGTATGTGACTGTCCACCTCATTACCTATATTAATATAGACAACCTTTCTGTGATTTTTGATGTCATTTAAAAATTGTTGTTTTATTTTGTAATCTATTTTACTTCCTAATTCCCTGGCAGATATGAAAGTTCAGGATTTTCTGGTTGACAATGAGACGTTCTCTGACTTCCTCCACCACAATGCTTCTCTATCGCAGCCGGCGGTAGATGAAATCCTGAATGCTAAGGTCAATCTCCAACAGGTAAGAAATATCCATCCTTAAATTGTATGCTCCCATTACCCCATCCAGCCTAGCCAATTGTAGGGAATGAAGTAACAATCTCTGGAGGACCCACAAGTGGGCTAGGCAGGCGTGATATAATTTTTAGTATTGTGAACTGGGATTAGGAAGCAGAAAAACTGATTCCCAAATGACGTAACCTCTGGTTAATATTTCTAGGTCCTTACATCTGGCTACCAGATGAGTCTGAAAGACTTGTGCAACTTCACCAAGCTGCCAGAACCGGTTGCCATCAACAATGCCAGTGTTGCCTTAATGTGCTCCATGCCGAAGGAACAACTTGCTTCTCTAGAAAGAGCGTTTCAGGATAATGTGGATTTCATAAAGCCAATTCTAGTAAGTATGATGGTGTCAACACTGATGGGTGCACAACCTCTTTTTTAGGACTACAAGGACATGATGGAGTGTTACATGTAATACACATCTAATACGTTTCTTCATTACTTCATATCTCATAGATTCGGTTGCTTGATTCCCATTGTTTCGTAATTCTGTTGCTCTGCAGCCTAACCTGGCCAAGCGCAACCTTTTTGTTTACTCACTTTGTGATCTGTTTTTCTTTCTCCTCTCAGGCTTCTCCCTCCAGCCTTTTCCTCTGTCTCTTCCTTGCCCGAACCGCACCTTCCCCAAGTTCCAAGCCTTATTCTGCAAGCTTCTGGGCTCCCCTTTATTGTACAGTTTCCTCAGGCTCCTGACTGATCACTGATTTTTTACTGATGGGTCCCCTGCTTCTTTTACTTATCCTGTTGTAAGTTTCCCTGTCTGCCTGCTTGTCTTTCTCCCTCTGAGGCTCAAATAGCTTAATCAACGGCAGAGATCCTGGCTAGACTGGACATTGCCCTGGGCTATAAGGTAGTTGATTTGGGGGTGCATTAGAAACGGAGAGCCCGTGAGTTCTAGTCCCACCTTAGGTGCAAAGCCAGCTGAGTGACCTCGGGCCAGGCCCTCTCTCTCAGCCATAGGGAGGAGGCCATGACAAACCATTTCCGAAATCTTGCCAAGAAACTGCAGAGGCAGTCGCCAGGCATCAATGCTGATTTGAAGGCACCAAAAACAAAAACAAAAAAAAAGGGCAGTGTCCCATTGCAGTTTAGCACTGAAGACTGCCAGGTCTTGTTCAACCCTTCATAGTTGAAAAAGCTTGGGGGAAGCATGGTTGGGGAAGGCTGCTTTGCTTAAAAGGGAAGGGAGGAAGAGAGATGTTTAAATCCAGGAGAACAGCTTCAGAGAGTCGGTTTTGTGGTCCTCTGGCAGGCATTTGTGGTTTTTCAGTAGTAATGTTTCATGAAACACAAGGCAGGTAAGGCACGGTAGAAAATTCTTCTTGGTAATACTTTGTGTCACTTCCTGATCTTGCATTGCCAACATCAATACACAGGCCATCTTGGGAGTAAGGATATTAAACCATATTAATTATGCATTATTTTTCTTGTTCTTACTTGTACTGTATTAGTACGCTTATTCATTTTCTGCTTTTCAGGCAGTGTTACCTCCCAAAGTGTCTTAAGTCAATTAAAATTCATCATGTATTACTGGCACATAACAGAGCCACAGATTTGTGACTTTTTGATGGAGTTTCCCACCCTGAAACCTAAATATCGATGGATTTTGGGGTTTGATTCAGAAAAACAAACACTCGAGCGGTATTTCAGCCCACAATCTCAGTCATCCTATACTCCATTTGCTGCTGCTGCCCCTTCTTTTGTGATGCTGCTTCTCATCAAACTGTGGTTTCACCTTTTGCTGGAAAACAAAGGCCAGATATGACTTCAGGGGTGCCAGCTGCTGACCTCTAATGTAAAGATCTTCAAATAGGAAATGTATGCTATTGTTCATCTGTCCCCTCACATCTAGACATGGCTCATTTTAATGCAGAAAACAAGTCACGAGGGGATATAAAGTCTGCCACCTTAAATAATTACCTTGTTATTACACCTAAATGTTAGTGGACTATTGGATATAAAGAATTGGAGCTGATTCAAAAGGTTGTTTCTGGGACAACTTGATGAAGACTTTGGCCCAGAATCTTTACTATATAGTTGGGTGTTATTCTAAAAGACGTGGTAGTGATAGTTCATGCTGCAGAGAAAGTTCTTGGGTTTGAATTTTTAAATAATAACTAGACAACCTGTGACCTCCTTCTGAAATCAGACATCTTTTGGAAAATTGTCTTTATT